AGTGAACGCTGCAGAACTGATATAGCCAAGATAATCCTGGATGCTGATCAGCTTATTACCTCATACAACATCAGAATAGTGATGCAGTGGATTCCAGGTCACTCCGGCACACCAGGTAATGACAGAGCTGACAGTTTGGCAAAGAAAGGAGCAACACAAGAACAACCACCTACAGCGACAACCCTCCAGACAGCAAAAACACTGATAAGAGCTATAAACAAAGAGACTTGGTTGAACAGATGGGCCATGGGAGACACTGGAAGAGAGGTATATAGACATATGTCTGGCCCTGATCCTAATGACAGCATTAACCATCTAACAAGAAGGGACCAGGCCACCATCTTCAGACTTAGAACGCAACATACTCCACTCAATGGACACCTAAACAGAATACAGCCACAACACTCCCCAGATTGCCAGCTATGTAACTACCCCTACAAAACTGTTGAACACCATCTCTTTGAGTGACCAGAACTCAGTGAGACAAGAAGAACGCTACTCCCTCCGAGACCAGACAAGTGGAACACCTTGTACGGAGGAAAAGAACAGCTTGTGAAAACATGCAAATTCCACTACATGGCATTGGGCCAAAGGGCGAAAGCTCATGCGCCGCTGGATCGATAACAACAACAACAACTATCTTGTACTAGAAAATGAATATTACATGTATATCCACTTGACAGATTAGGCTTCTTTGCAGACTGCTGTTTCCTCATCTCTGAGGCAGATGTACTGAGACTTCAAGGGAAACATCCCTAATTAGTCATCTTGTATAACGAGCTTGTGAGGGGGTTTTTCTGGGTTTTTTTTAAATATAATTTATATCTTTGCTTAAATTAATACCTAGCCACTTACATGTGCTATGTTAATCGCAGCCGATAGGAGGCTTGCTTTCATATCCAGCTACGACTCGCTGTAGCCACGGTTGGTGTTCAAAACCGGGCGGTTACCGGGGTTCACCCAGCCTCTAGGCAATGGGTACCAGAGTGACACTCTGGGGTAAATGCAGGAACATCGCTGTAGCTAAAGAGTTACGTGCGAGCGGAGACACAGGCGGACAGTTTCTTATCAGCTGTCAGTACTGGTGGCAGAGCACTTATGGTTTATAACCGTGTGCAATGACGCTGGTTCACATCTCCCAACTTTACCTTTTTTTTAATAGTTTACTATAAAGTTTTCAATTGAACTGTGGAACAATTGATTAAAATAATTAATATACCTGCTGACAGTTAATGTAGTGACTTTAGAATATTTCTTTTGTTATATTTTCTGATAAAGAATTTTAGATTTTCACTGTAATTTAATTGTAACTGTAAAGAAAACAAAATACATCCAAAATCAAAATCACTGAATATTCAAAATGTAAACAAAAGTCAGTAAAAAAGGAAAGGAAACACTCAAATTATTAAGTGCAGTCATGTGTAACATGTTAAACAAATTTTGAGTGGGGGGGGGGGAAGAGACAGCTGTTGAATATAAAGGGACATATGTGTTAACTGTCAGTGTCATTCTCGACCAACGACAACAAGGTTGTCGGCACTACCGTCAGTGATCACCTTACTTATACATCTACTTCTACTCTACAATGTAGAGTCTACATACAGTCTTGGTGTGGTCCAGCTCTAGGGCCGGTCCCGGGTCAGTCGATGCTCTTCTAGCTCCGAGTTGCTACCTAAAACTTTACCATACCTACCTAAGAAATCGGAAATCTCAATCTGGACAGCGACAAGACAGATCTTATATACCCCGTTCAACAACTATAAGAAGCAATAATTAGTGCAATCGTAATGGCAATAACATTCCCTTCCCTCCCCGGTGTAGAAGTCAAGTCTGCATTCTGTTTGAATCTGCCAGACCGCAGTGGCAGGTTTTTCTGCATCATGTGCCAAATCCCCCATTTCCTCGCTAATGAAATCTCCAGATCATACCTCAGAGTCATCAACCGCGGCGAAGAATTGATACCTGTGCCCAGGTCCTTCTGTATAAACAGAGAAGGCTGTGACTGTGCCCTTTGTGCTCAGCTGTGCCTTTTCATGTGTCGACAGGAGTTGAGTTGTCGGGAGCAGAATCCAGTTGCTGTGAACGCAGAGGTCCTCGCGCTTATGTGTACCAATTCAGATGAGGCGGATGTACTGATCTACACAGATAGGTCCGTTGTACTAAAGAAAAAAGTGCAATGGTCATTTGCTGTGCTGTGCAGGTAGAACAGTCTATGAGGCAAGTGGTGCCTTAATTACGACTACTAGCAGCATGACAATGAAGGTTATATCGGTAACACGAGCTTTCATATGGCTAGTGTCTCAGGGCTATCCTTACGTGTGCGTGCTGAGTAATTCCATGAGTGTGATCCGGCGGGTCGAGGTGGGCTTCGTACGCAGACAGTGCATGAAATCATTGCAAAGCTCCACTGTGCGTAGAGTTACCTTCATCTTTGTTTCAGGGTATGCGGGTGATGTTAACAATGAAAGAGCCGATAGATTAGCCGGCTCTGCTTATGTTTCAGAGGGCCTACCCTTAGATCATGCCACTGTTAACGTAATTAGAGAGTATGACGTTTTGAGGATTTTGGAAGCAGCACATCCACATCTTTGCTAAGAGTGCAAGAATTGGGAGTAAAGATCGGCACAACTAGGCATGAGAAGCACACCGGACGTACGAGAAGTCTTATCAACCAACAAAGGGCTGGGACCATCAACCGCCAAATGCAGATGTATATGTTAAAGGGGGAATCTGAGCACCTATAGACGTGTCCGGAGTGCTGTGAAGATAACCCAAATTATAACTCATCTCCAGGAGCCAGACAAAGCTGTGAAGTCACACTTGAAGATATGAAATTACAGTAACATTGATTCTTCGTCGTTATGACTTATTGAACGAGTGACGGTTAATCGAAGTTTTACTGTACTTGCTTCTTCTACTTTACGTTCACCAGCTGTAAACTCTGGTGGAAAGTTCTGGTTGTTCGTCCACCTTTGGACTGCAGTCCTGTTTCAGAACCTGAGTGTTGCGTGTGCATCCGTTTTACCGATCTGACTCATTTGTATGCAGACTGCTAGTTCCTTGCCTCTCAGGCAGATGCACTCCCAATTAGTCGACTCTTACGACATGCTTATGGGTAGGCAATGGGCTAATTACCCCAATACCCCATAATAGTGCCCAGCTGTTAAATGACTTTATCATCCCTTTATTCACAGGCGTTGCCCCTAAGGGGACCCGTCTAGGGCAGACTGGTCTGCCCTCAAGTGTTCCTGCCCCCCCCCCCCCCCACCCATTCCAGGATTGTTCTCTGCATAATTAACATCGCGAGGATAAGAATCAAACAAGTACCAGTCCCAGAAACCCCCGTTCGACATACCTATCATCACATAGACCTACTAGAGTGAGCCATATAATCATCTTCAGCATTATAGACCTCTATACCAACTAGATGGTGCCAGCTGGAGTGAGCGATCATAGCTTTACACAATCTGCATCTTCAACAGCATTATCTGTTAGTGTGCTAACATCCCTCTATACCATAATTATCAGCATAGACCTCGCCAACTGGAGTGAGCGATCATAACTTTACACAATCTGCATCTTCAACAGCATTATCTGTTAGTGTGCTAACATCCCTCTATACCATAATCATCAGCATGGACCTCGCCAAACTAGTGACATGCTTTACCAATCCATACCATTAATCATCCCTCCATACCATCATCAGGACCTCGCCAACTGGAGTGAGCGATCATAGCTTTACACAATCTGCATCTTCAACAGCATTATCTGTTAGTGTGCTAACATCCCTCCATGCCATAACAAACGGCTGTCAAGAATCGTTTCGCCTTGTCTTCCTCTGTCTCTTTTCCCACAAATCTTTCACGTGGTTACAATATATTATAGTTTCCCTCGTCTCATAATATTGTAAAATACTTATTTGTCATATAGCACAGTTATATTGGGGCACTGCAAAACGGTTACGATGCAACCCAAAGTCCAGTGTGGGTGTGCATATTTCCCTAAAGAGAATACAGGGGTAGAAAATAGACATCCTTCACCATTAAAGAAAGCTTCTATAAATGCAGAGCTGTTACATGACGTTCTGGTACCGGGCTCACCCATGAATAGTCACGTTCTGCACATGACTATCTTCTTTTATCCCACCAGGACATCACACAAGCGATAAATACCCGATGACACAACGTGCCACCATACGGATGAAGATCACCCGTGGAGAGGTCCCAGAAACCGCGTTCAGCCATTAAACCATATTTATGGCAGGGCTATATTGCGGCTCCTGGCAAAAGCCAGAGTAGGGCTTCAAATAACGAAAAACTGCATCCCACAAAGGGATGACAGTGTATTCCTGCCCATGACTGCTTATCCTCTCATTTTTATACAGAGCCTTCCGTTCATCATGGGCTATACTTCGATGCCCCACACAGATCTGGCTTTCTCAGCACATTAGACTCCTCCCGTAGCTAATGACGCATGTTTCGTAGCTGATTCTGGCACTTAGCGCGCGCGGGTATCTGGAAGCCTGTATTAGGCAGGTCTTCCTCTTGTGAATACGACATTCCGATAAATGTGTTTAATGTTAGCGGACATTTGAACCTTATGTGCCATCAAGAAGGATCTTTGCACAATAAACTTCTTAACGTACATAGTAGAATATAGTATGATATAGTAGGCTTCTCGACTGACATACGAAGAATTGTTTGTCATTGATAGGAAACTCGGCCAGTGGACCTCACCCATTAAACAGTCGAGCACAGTACTAACAAACATGACGAGCACAAACAGATAGAAACAATTATGAGAGGGCGGGACAAGCGAGGTAGACATTACTGAACTGCGGTGAAGCTATACAAATATCATGGTTGACACAGAATGGTGAAAGACATAAGAAAAACGGCCTTCTTCCATTGTTATAGTTTGGGAACTGCTCTCCCACCGGAAGTTGTACCTGTCTGGTCTCAGAAACACAGAACTACACACCTGGAATAACATCGGTCAAGATGGCGCTACCTCGGCGTTGCTTGTGCTGGAATTTGAGAACAGCCACATTCGCTAATATCGTGGCCCTTACGGTGAGCAGTATTTTATTTTTTTAGTCCGTCAGTTTGTACATCACTGTCAAAACTTCACCGCGTTTGAAATCTGTTGTTTTCTTTGCACCGTGGCGTCAGTTGTAGACAGAGTTAGAGTAGATAAATAAACAAACTAATCAAATCAACTTCACTTCCGCGTTCATTTAAAATTAATAATAATAGTAAAGTATAGTATAGTATAGTATTATAATAATACATTGAGTCTCATTCTCAGTCATTCTGCAGTAAGCATTTAATGTATTGACTGGCGACTTCTTATATAATCTTTATTCTAAATTATTGATGTAACATTCATTCAGCTGTTGCATTGCTTTTCATTTATTGGCCAGCTCTAACTCTAACGCTAAAGTTTAAGAGAGACTGAACTGAAGTTAAACTGAACGTAATTTTTTTGTCATTTGGATTCCAGCGGCAACTTTTACTTACAATCTACAATAACAATAAATTAAAATATTAAATCTTCGGCCATCTAGTGAAAATGCGGCCAAACAAGATTGCATATATGAGACTGTGCAGCAGAACATCTGCCATCTGGGGGGGGGGGGGGGGGGGGGAGAGAAAGAGATGGATAAATAACGGTGTAGCTGAAACCTGCAAAAAGATGAACAAATCCAGACCACCCGAAGCACAAGACAAACAGAAAAAATCAATTGGCACATACCCAATTGTGTCTGACATGGCACCTTGTTCTTCATATGGAGGACGATTGTCAAGCTTAACAAGTTATAGTTATTTTGAGCAGCCTTTCTCCATCATTTATGAACAGCATTTTCGGCTGTAGAAATGTTTTAGTCTCTTGTGCCATGGCCACTGCTGTCTTCAGATACACCTACATCAACTCCATCATCAAGTCTATCGTCGTTGTTGCTACTTTCAGTTGCGATATGACGATAACATTCATTGGTGTATCTCTACTTATCACTTATCCAGGAACTATAGTTTTTAGCACTAAATTCACTGGCAGATTCCAAATAATCAATACTACTACTACTAGTTTGGTTTTTGTCATCAGACTTTATAAAAAGGCTGAATTGGCGCTGGTAACGAAAAATATCAAAATTTCACTGAAAACAACACTTGTATTGGCTCAAAGCGATATCAATCATTGACCCAGCCATCTTGGAATAATAAAAACACCTGGATGCAATTCAGTTTAAAAACTGTTGGTAGAGATGTTGGTCGGCAGACTACATGTCGTGAATTCAACAATCATCGAACGGAGAGACAGCTTGGAAATAGAGTGGCAGAGCACATACCCAAATGGCTACATGCACAGCTCAGTGATTCTTCTAGGGTGTCGAGACCAGTCAAGGGGAAAGAACCCGCTTCTTCCATAGGATGTCATCTACTTAATTCCGGACACATAATTGACACAGACACTGCTTTCTGTGTGGTTACCATACTCCGAACAGGAGACTTTTGAGAATCTTCGAAGCCTTAACAATAAAAATTAACAACCCACTCCTTTGTAAGCAGACAGAATTTATCGTAAATTTGAAGTTACCCTGGTAAGTTACGTGACTAGGTGAGATTCTGGTGGCCATGAAACAGAGACAATGTATCGAAGAAACTGTTCGCATTTCATTTGAATTTTTTCAATTTTGTGTTTTATTTTATTTTGATGTAACTCTGTAGTAAAGCACCTGATGAGATACAGCGAAATATGCCTGGCAATAAATTGTGCAATGTATTGTTTGTATCCACATTATTTAAATTCAACAATGATCGTAGTTGATCACCAGGGGATATGGCCGGAAATTTGAGGATTGTCGAAGTTGGTCAGCAAAGTGTTAACCTGAGACCAAAGTGCTATCAACAAGGAGGACAGCATTGAAGAGCTCTCCTTCTCGTGTTCATGCTGAGAACCCTGCAGCAAGTGCAAGGTCATGACTGATATCTGTCGAGTTATCCTTAGAACATTTTAAAAATAAACCATGAATAAATGAATCAAAAATAAACATCACAGGACTCAGGAAATTTCCACATGTGCTCCGTCTCCTTCTTAGTAGTAAACAAAGAGGCCTTGCCTTATGCTAATACAAGTTATAATTGGTTATAAATACACCTATCTCTTCCCCTCAGCATTGAATATCATCTAGAACCCTTGATGACACCTCCCTTCGTGAATTAGTGTTTAAGAGAATCAGAAGTAGAATGGCAGCATTATGGCAAGCAAGATCTTGGCTAATTTAAGATCTGTTCATACTCATATGACCTCAGCGGTCCAGAGATTTACTTCAGGATTTCATAATTCATTTTCTCTTTTCAGGTTCTGGCTGGTGGAGCTCTCCTCCTTCGTATTTTGGATGCTTCTACAATTTTGGATGATACCTTCATAATAAATCAACATTTTAGAGCACCATGGCGATCACATCAATGGCAAAGTAATGGCCTGCTGAAGTTTTTGTAATGTTCAAGAAAATGTACTGAAAGATAGCGCTGTTGTCTTTATTGAAGGAATATACATGTTGGATTGTCTTATGTATTTACCTTATTGACACAGTGTGTTGTGGAGGAGGCAAACACTTCACACCAGATGGCAGTATCAGCCTGGACACTACTTCTGTCATTTTAATTAATGTGTGGGCATATATTTTGTGTTTTAACATTTTCTTGTTCTGTCTAGAATCTACAATTGGCACATTGTCTGACACGCTCTTGCATCTGAAGACTTCTTTATGAATGATTGAATTACAATATATCGATGACTAAAATGAGTCGTTGAATCACACCGGCAGTCCAGGAAAAACAAGTTTTATGATAGACATCTGAAGAAACTAGTCTTTACGCTAATAGCAAATGGAAGTGATGAATCTAGAAGTTCGTTGTAATGTCAACAGATTCTATACAAGCAAAGAAAACGACTGTCAAATGTTTTGATGTGCAAAAAAATATCAACAGATGAAACTGGTAAAATGTCATTATGATTTAGCTTCATTATGAAAATATAACAGCTGGAATGTAAAATAACAACTGACAGTTTGTAGTGATCATTCTCGACAGCCGTTCACTGTGACATGGACAAAAATCAGCACATGAATTTATATATTCTCTTTGAGTTCATGAAGGCACTTGCTGATGATGAATGTAATGAAACAGTCGTTGAGATCAGAGTTTGCTGAGATATTACTTGCACTAGTTATTGTTAAAAGGCACCAAGAAGAAAGTACTTGATAATACTGTGTACATTTAGACTCAAACTAAAAAAAAAATATTCTTTTGTTTTTGAATTTACAAAACTCTTGTCTAGCAAAATAAAACAGTTTAGCCATAATTTAGCTTTCTTTTTCTGCGAAGCCAAAGCCAGATATGACTAGCTACATCTGAATACTCTGACACTTCTACAAGTCTCTAACTTAGATGGATATTCTCCATGGAGTGAAAATATGAACTCTCAATGCATCCTTCATGAAATCAAAACTTATAGGGACCATAGAGTTAAGACAGAAAGTACTGATCTAAATTAGATTATAAGTGCTACCGTAAATGACTTGAGTAAGGAAGGGAACTTAATCCTGGTAACTAGCCTGCAGAAATAGCACGTTTTGTAACCTGATCATAGAAACCAGATTAAATACGTGTAATTGTAGTTTTCATTAGAGTTGTGTGCTCTTTTTTTTAATCCCCAGCTTTTGCTGCAAGTGACGCTCTCATCATTTTAAGCCATATCTTGATGATTATCTTTGCTTTGTACATGCTGTACATGATCACGCAGAAGGTGAGTAGATTATTGTTGTGTGACCTTCATAATACAAAATTAGCTTTTAGCAACAATATAAAAGTGTAAATAACATTTAATTCAAATTGGAAGGAAACATTCAACATGAAGAAGTATACAACATGAAGAAAACATACAACATGAAGAAAACATACAACATGAAGAAAACATACAACATGAAGAAAACATACAACATGAAGAAAACATACAACATGAAGAAAACATACAACATGAAGAAAACATACAACATGAAGAACTGAGATAAGAAGAAGTGTGGTCAATGTTTTAATTTGGTCAGTATCAAGAAAGAACTCCTATAAGGAAATTAAAGATATTCCACAAGAGGGTAGTAGTAGTAGTACATTTTACCTCACTAGGACATCACACAAGCGATAAACACATGATGACACAAAGTGCCACCATGTGGATGAGGATCACCAGTGGAGAGGTCCTGGAAACTGCGTTCAACCATATTTATAGCCGGGCTATATTGCGGCCCCTGGCAAGAGCCAGGGTGGGGCTTCAAAATAACGCAAAAATTGCATCCCACAGGGGATAAGTATAATTAACACGAGAGTATCGTGTATCTATAAATACTAGTGATAGGCCATTTAAAAATGGTCAACACAAATTTGCATAAACAAAATGTTATTGTCTATTTCAAAATGAGATGAGAGTAGTTTTATTGTTTGAATGAAATCTCTAAATAAAAGGCTCTTGGCTTGAGTCCAGTCAAATGCAATATTCTCTATAAATTTGTTTTACAACACACACACACCCACACAAATATCAGTTTTTCTTTATGAAAATGATTACATTTGATATCACTGCTAATGTCAACTGAAAAGATTATCTTGGAGGCTAAGTTTTCCTGCATGTACAGGCCAGGTTTAAAAAAAACTTTTTAACTCTTTGTGATAGATAGAAGTTCTTTGCTTTACTGGGATTAGATTTCATCTCTGGGTTTCAGAGATAGGTTTTGTATCTGATCTTATCGTTCAATACAGACTCGATTATTTAGCATTTTAATGATTTAATCTGACCACAGGTCTCCGTGAGGCCAGGTAACACAGTGGCTAGCATGTTTGCCTGCTTACATCCTGGCAGTGCATTTGAACCATTTCACACAGTAGTGACGTAGGCTTCCCAATCATGTATATCTTCTCTTCTTCATAGAGTTCAACCCCTTTAAACTCTTGACGGAAAGTTTTGGTTGCTCATCCACTTATGAACTTTGGTCTTATTCCAGAATGTTAGTTTTGAAATGTTATATGCACATTCACTTTACAGATAAAACTTGCCACAGCGTATAATAACCACATCACACACTACAGGTCATTTGGTCTGTACAGAATATGAAACAAACACCGAATAGCCAAGACACCTATGTGGGTGGAGCGGATCATTCAACTTTTACATAACAGACCCCTCTCCCTCCCACACTTGGGCATATTAAGTAATGTTCTCACACATACAGGCAGTCTAGAAAAGGTTTGCAAACATTAGTCAGACTACGGGATGTGTACACAACAGTTATAAGTGTATATAGTAACAAACAGTGATGACTGTGACATACAGTAATAAACAACGATGAGTGTGACATACAGTAACTAACAGCGATGTCTGACATACAGTAACAAACAGAATGAGTGTGATGTACATAAAAAAGACCAACCAGGGAATGTTACAGTGGATGCTGTAACAAAACTTCAAACTGGGCAAGTGATTCCATTGGTTGTACTGTTGCTGTTGTTAACAGTCTCATGAAAAGTAACTTTATTGTTTCTTTCCCCAGCATTTTGTTCTGTACATGGAGACACTGCGGACATTTGCTTATCTCTTCATCTTGTACATATTCTTCGAGTTCTGCTTCTCTGTGTTTGAGTTCTCATTTTATGGACTCAATACATTTGTAAGTAGACTCCATTTAACATTTATTAAGTACGTTATAATTTGCAATTTATTTATACTGGTGCATTCTCATAAACAAGCATGATCAACATATTGACTCCTTTGTGTTACTGGCACCCATAAAGGAAGCAAAGATAGTGACTCCGTAACTTATGATGCAAACTTGCTCGCTACCATCTTTTTTTGTCCTTTACCCCCCTCCCCCCAGTGGAGCACAGTACCTCAACCACCTCACACATAGCCATCCTATCCATTGCTATCACAAACTTACCCCATGTTTACTCCACATGTTTTTCTGGTCTACTTTATTGCTATGCCCCTGGGGGTTCCAGTGTGAAGACATTCTAGTTATACTGTTCTCAGTTTTTCTCAGCGTGTGTTAGTCCATTGTCAGCATCTTTTCTTCACCTTTTGATTCACCTGAACTAGTTTGGGTCTCTCCCAAAGCTCCACATTCATGATTCTGTAATATTATTTAATCAGTTTCCTCTTTTCTACGTAGGTACCAGTTAATGAATGTTTGTTGTTGATTAGTAATTGTTTTAGGTCTCCATGTTTCCACTTCATATAGCAGCTGCTGTTTTTGACATTAGAGCTAAATATTTTAAGTTTAGCTGACTACCTTATCCTGTAGAAAATGTTAATCTCAAAAAGTACACAGTGTAACCAGTCATGAATTCTTTGAAGAGTTTGACATGAATGATCAAGGGCCTGTGCACTGTTGGGAGATAAAAGGCAAGAGAAAAAAAATGCTCAGTGTCATGTCAACTTACTAAATCAATCCACTGACCACCACGACTGCACATTATGCGATCCATCGACATTTAGGCCTAGCTATCACGATACTTACCTTTTGTATTCATATTTTAATATCTCTGTCAATTCCCCCATCTTCATCTACATTGTGGCAGATGGCAGGATTGATGGAAGAGAGCAAGACACAAGCAGAGATATAAATACTTGCATAGTTTGGCCATATGCATGGGAGTGAGACAAGAACATTGATCTGATCCATAATTCTGGCAAAACTTGACAGCCTACAGACACAGCACATGATATTTAATCTATAGATTAATTTTAAATTAAATAATTTTAAAATTCTGTTTTTTCCAGAGGCTGGCATTTGTGGTGTTTCTTTGGCTTTACTGGCTGGCCAGGACAATTGGGAATGTAAGTTTTGTACAAACTGGAAATATTTTAGTATTTGGTTTTACCCCTGTGTGGGTTCCGGGGCCCCATTGTGGGGAAAACAAGAATAGACCCACTGCCTCCCCAAAAGCATGTTGTAAGAGTCAACTAATTGGGGAGCTTTCTTTGAAGACGGAGTGCGTCTGCCGGAGAGGCAAGGAACCAACAGTCTGTATTCAAGAGAATGAGATCTGTAAAACTGATGCACACGCAACACTCAGGTTCTGGAGCAGGACTGCAGTTCAGTAGTAGACGAGCAACCAGAACCTTCCGCCAGAGTTTACAGCTGGTGAACGCGAAGAAGAAGAAGAAGAAGTATTTGGTTTGTTGTCAGTCTTGTGTGCACTAGTTAATGTTGCCAGCAAGTCTCATTGGCAGCTGACCAGTTGTTGAACAATACATAAAAATGTTAGATAATGTTACAAGTTTGTATGAATTTATTTTATCCCAGACAACATAAATGTTGAGCAATTTGAAATGTTGTATCCCGTATAGAACTTGGTCCTCTAATTAACTCATGCCAGATTGTTCATTTTATTGCAGACAGCTCACCCATATTTTCCCAAATTTTAGTCATATTTCAGCAATGTTTCTATTCCCATCATCTCTCTCTCTCTCCCACCAAAATAATAATAAATAAGAAAATAACACTTATCACTTTGCAGTGAAACAATTGTTCAAGGCATAGAGCTGCTGCCGTTGTCATTCTAAAAATAGCAGAGCTAGTTCTGGAAATTCTCCATCCAGGAGAAGTGAGCCGATATGTTGTCCAGTCTTGTGACATGGCTATGTATGCAGATACGATCTGTGTCCCCTTTTTTCTCCGGACTTCTATTTTTTTTACATTATAGTTTTTCCTGAGTGACACTAAAACTAAATTAAAGTGTAGAGACTGTGGTTTAGTAAAATAAGTAAAAATCTATGTACATAATATTCAAACTGGCAAAAAAAAATTACAGGCATCACACAAAAGAAGCAAGTGTGGCTTGGTTAAAATGTGGTATGTGTCCATCTTTGGCTTAATGCTACTGGGTTCGAATTCTAGCTGGGCATTCTTTGCAGTTAGTATGTGACACAGGCAGACATTCTGTGATCCAAGACAAAGTGGAAATATTAGTCTGTATATAAATATTGTTAAACTATAGAATGTCTGCTGAAATAATATACAGTAGTTGTAAAATATTTCCTTACATCATTTTTCTTCAACTACCATTCCAGATTTGCATTGCCATTATTCTCTTTGCTCGAATCCATGAAATCGAAGACGACATGGCCACCGAGATCAGATCTTCAGACAAGAAGTATGTGCACTCCTACTCAGTGCTGGGATAAAGTGCTGAATTCATGTTTATATCAAAGTGTTGTCAAGTGTAAATACACAAATTACATTCCACCTTTATGTTACAACAGACCTTGCTGAAATTTATAAATGGTTAAACATTATTTTGTTAATGGAAAAATCTGAATATGTTTGTCACAAAATATTATTGTATACAAATGACAAGAGTTCACAGATCCAAACATCAGGGATTTTATTCAGGTTTGTCCCTGGGCCTCACAGACTGCTGACTGTAACTACATTCTGCTCCACCTTGTCCTCTTCAGTCGTTCATAATGTTGAATTCTGTTTTTTGATGTATCTGTCATCTTCTTCTGCTATTTCTAAAATCTTTATTCTGATTACAGATTTTAACTTGGAGAATTCTTTACTGTTTCTAATGCCTCTTTTATCTTAGATATGTCTGGTCCCAAGATCTATTTTTCCCCAACATAACTGGACCATCTCATTCTGCTAGAGTTGCTGCCCTTGTTAATTGTTGGCTGTTTGTATCCACTGCATTCATTCTGTTTGTTCTTGTCCTCTGTATTTCAGTCATATTATCTGTAACTGGTCTGAATATGTAAATATCCTTTTTCAAACAGCAGTTTGTTGTATGGGAAATTCATGCCCCAAAAAAAAAAAAATCTTTATTGTGTGTGATAAGTATTTACTGGCATGTTTTTATTCTCAGACCCACCCATTTGAAAATCTATTTAATTAATATTACTTGATCTGTGAGTTAGTAAACTGCATGCTGTCTACTTTATGTTATTCAAGTCAGAGCAGATCTAACAAGTGTTATCTGCTGGTTGCTTTCATTGTGAAAGAAAGGAATACATCAAAATTAATAACTCAGGACAGTTCACTGTTTTGCAATTTCACTACATTCCAATTTAATTATAAAGTCTTTTTATGTGTGTGTGAGTTGTGTAGTGTGATAGACCACATTATATTGTATTTTCATATTTCTACCACACAAGTATTTCATCATTTTTTTAAATGTACTAGAGACTAGGAGAAAGTCACTCTGGATAAACTAAATAGGTTTGTACAATTCAGTATCTCAAACATAATTAACTACAAATGTGAAAGAAATGTTTTACATTTCAGATAATTCTTTATAAGCATTATTAATTGTTTTTAAAATTCCTTGATCTTCAACTAGTGGATCTGATGATGTAGTGATTTAGGTTGATGTTTTCTTAGGCAGCCCACAAGACCTTTTCTTCATTTTCTCGTACAAACTTTTCTGTTCTTTGCTTCCAATTCTAGCCCTATTAAAATGTGAGCAACACCACTGGTACACTGTTTCATTTTCATGATGATGTTAAAGATGATCTATCACTCGAACTAATTACTTCATGAAAATTATTACAACACAGCTAGATTTCCAATATACATCTTCTACTCAGAATAAGTGAAACCATGAAAATCGAACATCTAGTGCCTTCTGTCCACACAAAACATTCTCCCTTTAAAAAAAAAATTGTTCTATTACCTTAACACTGCTGCTGATTATTATCCAGTGAACCCCGTATGTCTGATATCAACTGCAGCTGTATGCCAAAATAGCCTTTTTGCATGTTTAAATTGACGTTTTTGGAATTCAGCTGTTATTTACAGGAACAAACAAAAAATAATGTGTTATTACTTTTGTCTACATTTTTATAATTAAAATAATGTGTCTACACTGTAGTGGTGAAAACAAATTATTTTAATTAAAGAAAAAAAGTTTGATGCTGAGGGTAAACTGGTCCTTCAGGGTGAGTTATGAGATTTTGTAAAAGTACTACTTCCAAGAGTATTTGATTTCTTTAAAGGGTCAGTTACTTCATTGTATTTGTAATGGCCAAATTGTTTATCCTGTCTGTGCTATTATTTAGTAGGGTGGTGTCATGTATGGTTACAAACTCATCTTTTTCTGTGGATTTAGCTCTGCCTACCTGGCACACATTTTTCATCCATACATTAGTACAAATATTAATGCCACTAATTCAGAACAGCATGCACTTGTTTTCATCTACCTCCATGAAACAGTTGTGTGTGACCAGCTGGCAGATTTTTGTTGACATGTTCAGAAAACCAACTTTATAACTTGAGAAAGAAATATTTTGCTTAGTAATATTAAAATATGTACACATTCCACTATAAAAATTTAAAAATTGTGTAAACATTTGCTGTGTTCCTTTCTGCATATTAAAGAAGTTAGTTCTTTGATTTTACTTAAAGAAACACTGAGACAGATATGTCCCTGCTAAGTGGCAAGCATCACTTTAGGAGTCCTGGGTAGTTGAAGCCAATTTTCATTAATCCTTTTCACGAACATCAGAAACATGGTTCTACAGAAGAACTCTGACCATCCTTTGCTTAGTCACATGTGTTTATTTAAGGCTAAGATATGAAGTGAGGTTTTTTTTTTTTGGGTGCCAGATGATGAAAACATACATATTGTTGCATCTGGAAAACTATGTGGAAAGACAAAATAATCTAGACAATTCTCTACAGCCTCTTGCAGCAACACAGACCAATCTGAGCTGGAAATAAAACATGCTGTTAAACAGTCAGTAAAGGACACCTTACATTCCACAGGTGCATTGGGTGTATATTTCAAGCGGCACTGGGTGTATATTGCCAGCGGCACTGGGTGTATATTTCAAGCGGCACTGGGTGTATATTTCAAGCGGCACTGGGTGTATATTTCAAACGGCACTGGGTGTATATTTCAAGCGGCACTAGGTGTATATTTCAAGCGGCACTGGTTGTGTCATGTTGGCCACTTTTACTTCCCAGGAGTTTACCTAGTTCCTGTTTTAAAATCGTGGAAATAAAGGTCATTTGTGAAGAAAATTCGATTAGGTGTGGATTAGAACTTAAGAATTTTTGCTCAGAGGCGAAGGTCTAGCTGCAACACAAGCGAGGTTTCCCTCAGAGACTGCAAAATATAGAGAAGCCTGGTCGCCTACGCCAGTCAACAAGACACTTGATAATGGTGCATTACATGGCTTTCTCTTATATTATAGACAACTATCAATCCTTAGTGACCATGGAGTTGTGGGAACAGCGCCTGCTACGACTGTCCAGTGCTGGAATGACAGTCTCTACCACATAGACAACATAAAACTGTTGATACTCTATCGTTCTGAGGCTGATTTTCTCTGAGACGTCTCCTCTATGTAGCTTTCTGTGTTCGGCTTCTTGCAAACTGTGAGAGTCCGTGTTGGTTTTCTTGGCCACAACTAATCTAAAAACAAGAGGATGCTCAGTACTAGTTATGTGGGTGCCAGCGTATGTGAGAGTTAAAGTATTTATAAGGGCAAATAGATAAGCAGAACAGATAACAATAAAATACATGTCCCAATGAAAAAAGATGCATTTAAACCAGTGATATTCCCAAACTGCGCCGGGCATCCCTGACCTCTTCACATGGTCGAAATATTTGAAAATACACTAGTTTTTTTTTTTTTTAAATCTCCTACATACGAATAGTCTTACTTTTACTTAGATTAGGGCGCTGTGGAGAAATTTAAATTTAAAAAAGGCGCTGTGACTAAGAAAGAACAGTTTGGGAAACACTGTTTGAAATAACAGAAGAACGGACAGCGATGCAAAATGGGAGTTTAAAGGACAGGCATGTCTACAAATGGTTTAAAGCTTCAACTAGAAAATGTCAAGTAACAAGTAAACTAAAAATCTCTTGCTATAAGAAATTACAGAGACTGCAGCTTTGAGTGAAAGACTTCACAGTAGCAGAAGGCATCTGGTCTGTATGTCAAGCACATAATGATACTGAACATGAGTTACTCCACTGCAAGAAATATGACCTCTCCTTAGCAAATATATATATGCTGCTGCAATAAGCTTATGACAATTGAAGGTTAAAGTCAATAGGATAGACTTCATTGCACCTGGTTTTATCCCATAGGCTCAGTATCTCCACAGAAAGGCTAGTCGTCTGCCAAGGGCGACTATCTCCAGGAATCTGTAAAATTTGCACTACTGTTCTTGTTATGTACTGTTAGATCCTTTCCTCTAGTTATACTTATACAGTTAATACATAAACTATACGATATTGCCTAACCAAACATAATTGTTGGACATAAATGTACATGACTGAAAAATAACAAATACTCTATATATCCCAGGTTTACCCCAAACTTCTTCTGCGTTCAATATCAGTCATGCTAAACATTGAGTCCCGTCTGGGTCACAAATAGGATTGTGCGTTTAAGGTCGCCACCGGTCCCCCATAAGCCAATCCATGTTCTCTCATTTCCTTGCATACCACAGTGGGTTGGTATCCACTGCAAGACCAGTTCTGCTTCCTTGGAAAGCCAATGTTGGTCTTAGATCAGCAATTAGTTTGTCTTGTTTTTTGCTGGATAGTGCTTGGAGAACAGACAATGAGTCACTAAGTATAACAATTTGGTGCCCTCTGTGTTCTTGAGTGATGAGATGTTGGACTGCAGAGAGGAGGGCAGTTGCCTCAGCTCTGAAGTTAGTGCAGATGTCACCTGCTGGTAGAGAGAGAGTTTCTGCTCTACTGCTAGGGGGTTTAATGTAAATTCCACAGCCCCCTTTTCTGACTGCGTTAAACAGGATGTTGTTTAAGTTGCTGTTACTACCACTACTGCTACTTGTGACAAGCTGAGTTGAGTGTACTTTATTTGGTTAATTAGGCGCCCCATGCTGTTATTAGGCATTGTATAACATTGTAGATGATCTGATCAAAGATAATTAGTACAAGTGACATAGTGGTAATAATTGAAACAACTAAATCATCCTATCCATGCTGGAGAACATTGGGCAAGGAGAGGAGTGGATCAGAGTGCTAGCGGGAAAAGTCTGAGCTGTCTAGGGTTATGATCACATTGGGCCGGGTGTGCAGTGAGTGGCCAGCAGGTGCTACGGTAGGTTAAAGTCCAACAGTTGATTCACAATTCAGGTGATCTGATTATCTATACAGATGGTTCAGTGTTGAGAGGAAAGAGAAGTGCCTGGGAGTTCATAGCGAAAGCCAATGGAAAATCTTTAGTGCAAGACAGCCTAGCATATGACACCACAACATCTAGCACGAGAATGGAGGTGGAGGCAGTAACTGCAGCTCCCCAGTGGCTAAAGAACAAGATGCATACACATGTAATTCAGACTCTGAAAGCATGCTGAAAAAGTTAAGGGCAGGGATGCTTCGAGCAGAGCGGCAAGCTTCACTGGAAAGGTCACGGGTGGTAAGCATACTTTTGATCTTTTCTCCAGGTATGTCGGCGTGGTGGGTAATGAACAGGCAGATAGATTGGCTGGATCCGCACCACTGGGTGGTGAATTGATACATGACAAGGCCCTTTGAGAACAAGCAATGGAATCAGTAGATTCTTACCTACTCCTCTCCTCGCCTAATGTTCTCCAGGATGTAAACCTGTCTGTTCGTGTCCTCCGCCAGAGCCATCCATGACATCCCACTTATCAACTGCAGACCCTTCGTGATGAATGTATGCTAGAAAATATTAATGAGAACTTTTTAAATAAGGGAACATGCGCCAGCCTGGGATTAAATTCCAGGACCAAGGAAGATATCGCCTGCAGCCGAATTTGAATAGTTCACGATATTGTTATACCTCACTGGCCAGGTCGGTCTTGTCTTGTCTTGTCCACAATTGCCTCACAGCGTAGTGGGGAGTCGCAGTTTTCTATCCTGGGCCAGGTGTGTTGCACGTGTTGTTGTTAGTCCGTGTTGCTTCAGGATCTCTGATATATTGTCTATCCATCGTACTCTCGGTCTGCCTCTTGCTCTAGGGCAGTAGTGCTGTTCGTTGTATGCTCGTAAAGGCAGTTGGTCGGTTTGCATTCGCATCAAGTGGCCAAACCACTCTATTTGTTGCTTCTTTATGTACCAGGTCGGTACCTAAGTAATAAACAAGTTGACATAAACGAACGCAGAAAAGCATCTACGAATAGGGGAGTTGATGCACAGAGAGTAATTATAGAGGCAAGGGGTGTGTCTAGTTAGCGAGTGGTACTGATGGCTGGAGTATGTATTACTGGGAAACATTACGTGGAGAAACACAAAGCGACCAAGAGTCAATCAATCAATCAGATGCCGTCTCCACAATGAAGGTTGGCTGCAATGGATCTCCAACAAGCCCTGTCTCTTGCTCTTGATGTACACTCACTCATACTGCTGTTCGTCCATCTCTTGATGTTATCCTCCCACTTATAACACTGTCTGCCTCTTGCTCGCCTACCTTAAACCTTTCCCTCTAGGATGATCTTTACAATACTGTTATGTCTTTTAATGTGACCAAGAGTAAACAGTTTTAGATTGGCGTGCTTCTTTACGCATTTCAAGTACAGAGCTTGCAGCTTCTGCTCGGACTCGCTAAATAACTCCTGCCATTGATGATGTGTTTTCTCTTGCAACATCAGACATTTATCCCTGTCACTAAGGAGACAAGACGTTTCATTAACCAACACAAAACAGGAGTCATCAGTCGTTTTACGCTTGTGGCGCTTTTGAAGAAGAAATAGGAGCACCTATGGATCTGTCCGGAGTGCTGTGATGATAACCCTTTCTCCACAGACTTTAATGATCTGTCTGTGCCTCGGCACTGTTCAATCGCTCCCAAAAAGCACTCACAATATCTAACTTGTCATAACATCAGTTCACCACCAAGTGGTGTAGAATCTGCCCGTCTGCCTGCTTACTTCCCAACACACCGGCATGACATGGAGAAAATAACCAAAGGATGCTAACTACCCGGGACCTCTGAAGTGATGCTTGCCACTCTGCACGGAGTATGCCTGTCTCCATCTGTCTCAACATGCTCTGTGAGTCAGTTACAATCGCGGCATGTGTGTACAGTTGATTCTCAAGCCAGCAGAGACTGCCTCCACCTACATTCTCAAACTAGACGTTTTGATATGTCTTGCAACATCAGTGAAAACAAAAGCTAGAAATACAATGCAGTTGCAGCTTCTTAGGGCAATAGTGAGAGAACAGAGCTGCTTAGCTGCAATAACTCCCCGTGTAGGGGTCCCATTGTGGGGAGAACAAGAATAAACCCACTACCTACCCTGAGGAATGTCATAAGAGTCGATTAATTTGGAGCTTCCTTCTAAGTCGGAGTACATATGCCAGAGAGGCAGGGAACCAACAGTATGCATGTAGATTATTTAGACCTGTGAAACGGATTTACACGCGCCACTCAGTTTCTGGAACAGGACTAGAGTACAGAAGTGGACGAGCAAACAGAACTTTCCGCCACGAAGTTGCAATAACTGTTTTGATACTCTAAAAATAACGTGTCTACTTCCTTCTAAGTCGGAGTACATATGCCAGAGAGGCAGGGAACCAACAGTATGCATGTAGATTATTTAGACCTGTGAAACGGATTTACACGCGCCACTCAGTTTCTGGAACAGGACTAGAGTACAGAAGTGGACGAGCAAACAGAACTTTCCGCCACGAAGTTGCAATAACTGTTTTGATACTCTAAAAATAACGTGTCTACTTCCTTCTAAGTCGGAGTACATATGCCAGAGAGGCAGGGAACCAACAGTATGCATGTAGATTATTTAGACCTGTGAAACGGATTTACACGCGCCACTCAGTTTCTGGAACAGGACTAGAGTACAGAAGTGGACGAGCAAACAGAACTTTCCGCCACGAAGTTGCAATAACTGTTTTGATACTCTAAAAATAACGTGTCTACTGATTAAGTATGTAGTGTTGGTTTCAGTGGAGGCGATTGGGATGACCTTTATCTTGAGCTTTTATTATGACTGTGAATTTGCAAGATGCTGGACAGTTTGGCATCATGGCATGGAGGATCTTCTGTGTCAGAATTGATTGAAAGTACACAAATTAGAAGGTTGTGGATAGACATGACTACCAACGCCCACCACCTTCGCCAGAATGTATTTCTCCCATGGGTCACGCCAACACCACACGTCATGGGCTTTAAGAAAACGATGAATTCTTAATGTTTCCTCTTGGCATATGTTTTGGCAATTTCTAGCTAGTATTTGGCAGCCTTGCCCTGTTGTGATCTGGCAACCCCCTTGTATTATGGGGGGAACGGCTTTAGGCAGGGCCGGGTTTCTACTGTCTAGAGCTTGGATCCAGGTCTGTGTGTGGAGGGCACATACGTCTGTGAATTTATCTCCGTCAGAGACAAACACAGGTGTTTACTTCATTTTAAAATCTATCCGGCAGGTGAATGTAACAGACTAAACAACCAAGAGCTAGGTCTCACGTCGACGAGTTTTTGTTTGAGAAAGTTTGACCTTTGTAGCTAGCACTGTACTGTTTTGCTAAACATTTGATTTGTTGTCATTTCTCGAATTCGCCAAACCTAATAAAATAAAACCTCCATTCTCTTCAGTGAAAACGATAAACAAATAAAAATATAACTGTGCCTCATTGAAGTCTCTACATCAGTTAAAGGCTTCTATGTGTCAGTTGTTTGGCCAGCTAAGTAAATACGGTCGGTAAAGGAAATGGCAGCTTCAGAATAGACGACAGTGACAGATGTTGTCATGCAGGTCTTCCTGGGGCCCAACAGAGGCAGCTCAGACTTAATAATAGTGGCAGTGATAATACTGTAACCTATCATGCACGGCAACTATGGAGGCTAGCGTGAGATAGTCTACCACATTCTGTAAAATATTTAAGCTGGACAACTCAATTAAGCATAAACAAATGAACTAATTAACAGATTAGTTTATGTGATTATGTAACAGCAATAGATCTTGACTTGTTGCAGATTGAACCTGGAAGGCAGTAAGCATTCTAACCACTGTTTCCATTTATGAAAGGCAGTAAGCATTCTAACCACTGTTTCCATTTATGAAAGGCAGTAAGCATTCTAACCACTGTTTCCATTTATGAAATGTAGAGATGAAGAATATGACCTAGTACTGCATGCAAAGACCCTTGAACATGTCTACAACTCTTATCCAAAACCCGAGTGGTATACACTGATGGTTCATTGGATTGGTCATCATGCTGCAAGATTGGACCACAGTAGAAACGTCATGCCCCTCCGGAAGACTCACAAAACTTCAGAGCAGAGTAGCAAGCAAATATTAATGCAACCAAGGTACTTGAAGAAAGAAAAAAATAAATATAGCAAATTGCTTTTGTTTTCGTCCTCCAGGCGACTCAGAGAGATCCACAAGACAACATGGAGAGAGAACTGACCCGTCAGCTAAACAGACTCAAATCGTTCTCCACTGGATCCTGGCTCACTGGGGCATACCAGGAAATGAGTTAGCAGACAGACTTACAAAAAACTGAACAAAGGAGAAACAACACAACCATTTATTTGTCATTACCATAAATCAAATTACTTATCAATGGAAAATACAAGGAACTGTAGTGAGAACAAGCCAACATTAAATATCCACAAGACCCAGTCAGCAGACTCAAGATAAATCAAAATACAACAGTTTTCCATCTACAAACAGGACACTGCAGGCTCAACTACCACCCGCATAAAATAAAGTTGTACAGTCCCCAGTGTGCTTGTCAGGCAGGACTACAAACACCTGAGCACATTCTGCAGACCTGCCCACTCTACTTGCAACTTTAAAAAGAAACCTCGCCCCAAGAGCAAAGTGTGCAGAGCAAGCTATGGGGAACCATGAAGGACCTGCAGCTGACATGCGAGTTCATAGAGGCAACCCATCTGATGGTCTGATCTGAACATACAAAACCGAACGCAAAGAAGAATATAGATACACAAATAATCATGATTTTAATAAATGAAGCATGAAAATCTGAATTATTTAAAAAACTTAATGTTGCCTCTGTTTTTATTTCAGCTCCAACATGGTATGTCTTTTAGCCCGTACTATGAGGAGATCATACTTCAGATACTTTCATGAATACATGTTGCCAACACATTTATTAACTCCATGCAGTATGGTACGTCATCTTTCGTCAGCCAAGTGTTTGGCAGTAAAGGTTGTACATCTACGGAGTGTTTCGTCATTTCAAGTTCTCAGCAATAAACAGGCTGACTTCCTTTCACCTGTACCTTTGATGTCAACATTAAGTTTACATTTTCGGAAGCCCTTTTCCTCCGGATCTGAGCACTTTATTTCCAAGGATAATTCTAAGGCTGCCCAGAATAAACCAGTTGCTTTCACAGACTCTGATCAATGTCTGCTGTTTGATGCACCAGGGGTTCTTATTTCACAACTAACGTTTGCTGAAAGTAAGGCTATGGCAGATCAGAAGAAATGCAGGCTTGTATACACGCACAGAAACAAGGATGGGCTCCTGTGCTTCCAGCTGCAGGCCTTGTGGAGTAGCAAGACTTTAGCAGCCTCTAAAATAACACCTGCAACAAATGCAGAGACGTCACCATCCAGGAACAAGCTACAGAAGAGTGCAGTCAAGGAGTTCAGGATTCACTCCAAAGTTGGTGACAATGACTTCTCTGTCAAGTTGAACAAGATGAAGTCGTTACTTCTTAAAGGGAAGCAGTTGAAGGTGCATGTAGCAGCATCAAGCGAAGCCAAGGTTGGTTTGTCTTCTTCTTATAGTCCAGGTCATTCTTATGTGAGTCCACATTTGATTAGTTTCTCTACTGCTGCTTGACTAAAGTGACTCAAAAAGCCACATTTGTGATGTTAGGTTGATAAAAACAGATCTGGGATACCCTATTCAACCTTTAAACAATTTGGAAAAACAAATAAGCATGTACCTCCATCTAGTGTACTTCCAAAACGTTTGTATGCAGACATTCTTTGATGTCATTGCATTCCATCTCACATCTTTTGATCTCCCTTCACCTGCTATCCCATTATCACTATGCTCTAGTTATATCTCCTCCACATGATGTGTCCAAAGATCAGGCCCTGTGGTCTTCTTTTTCATGTTCATCGGCTACAAACTCCAGCAGAAAGTTTTGGTTGTTAATTCACTTCTGGACTATAATTCTGTTTCAGAAAAGTTTTGCGAGCACATTTGTTTCAAAGATTTGGCTTACTTGTATGCAGACTGTTGGTTCCTTGCCTCTCAGGTAGATGTACTTCGACTTTGAAGGAAGCTCCTAGTCAAATCTTACAACATGCTTGTTAGGAAGGCAGTCTGGGTGTTAAACCTCTCCCTTCCCCCAGAGATGCAGTGCCTAGAAATTCTCTGGTGCTCCCCTCCCCCCCCCCCTTCCCCAGAGATGCAGTGCCTAGAAATTCTCTGGTGCTCCCCCCCCCCCCCCCCCCCGAGATGCCAGAAATTCTCTGGTGCCTAGAAATTCTCTGGTGCTCCCCTCCCCTAGAAATGCAGTGCCTAGAAATTCTCTGGTGCTCCCCCCCCCCCCCCCCCCAGAGATGCAGTACCTAAAAATTCTCTGGTGCTCCCCCCCCCCCCCCCCCCAGAGATGCAGTACCTAGAGATTCTCTGAGTGCTACCTAGAAATCCTCCCCCCCCCCCCCCCAGAGATGCAGTGCCTAGAAATTCTCTGGTGCTCCCCCCCCAGAGATGCAGTACCTAGAAATTCTATGGTGCTCCCCCCTAGAGATGCAGTGCCTAGAAATTCTCTGGCACTCATCAGCCCACCCCATTTGCATGGATAATGTACATTGAAAACATATTTGGAACGTGAGTACTATAATAAGTTTTTTTTAGAAAAAATACTTCTTTGCTTTTAGGACACAAACAGGTTCATTTGTGTTTCACTTGGCCTCATGGATTTACTACTAGCCCAACAGAAAGAAACTTAGACACACACAAGCTGTAAACATGTAACAATTAGGCCAGGTAGAAGGATTATATCTCACAGCCCAACAGAGAGAAACCTAGACACACACAAGCTGTAAACATGTAAGAAACAGACCAGGTAGAAGGATTATATTTAACAGCCCAACAGAGAGAAACCTAGACACACACAAGCTGTAAACATGTAACAAACAGGCCAGGTAGAAGGATTATATGTCACAGCCCAACAGAGAGAAACCTAGACACACACAAGCTGTAAACATGTAACAAACAGGCTAGTTAGAAGGATTATATGTCACAGCCAGCAGGTTGATCTTGAATGTTCAGGAAACATCTTCCTGACCCTTTTAACTCCATCTGACCAAACATATTGTGAAATGTCTATAGTTTCCAAATTGTAGCAAATTTAAGAGAAACCAAAAGAACAAACCCAACATTCCTGGCACATCTCCACTCTGCCAGATGGAGAGTGAGTGGAGAGATGTTCCAGCTTGACACTGACGTCACTATGTGGGATGGTAAATGAGCTTATTGCATGACAGTCGGTGATCCAGAGCAATTCTGTCCTCTTTAAAATCAAAGTATACGCATATTTATTTGTTGCTAAATTTAGCAAGAAAAAGACCAATTAAACATTAACCTGGATCTAGTATGGGACACCTTCAGATAGTGGAGAATACAAGATTTGCCAAGGCTTCTCAGAACCATCCACAGGGTTTCACCCACATTTATCATCATGGAGCTGACAGGAGTGATAATCGCAGATGTTCATCTTAATACGACTTTTTGTCTGGTTCATCAAGACTCTTTTAAACCGTCTGTTCAGACGGAAAGTTAAAGACATTTGTATGATCAGCGTGCATCCAGAACTGACAGGTCCCTGGCTAGACAGTACACCATGTTTACCAACCCCATCAGATGTTAGTCACAAACCGAATGTTGTATGAGTGTGTGTCATTGATTATTGTGTGTATGTATTTGTGCATATACTACTGTGTGTGTATGCTTGTAGATGAGTGTTTGTATGTACACACTACTCATGTATAGGCACAAGATGAAAAGCAACTTGTAATTGTCTCTGAAGTGTTTGAGTGTCCCAGACCCCCTTCACCCCCCGAGCAGCTGCCTATTTGTTTGCTTTACCCTCACAAAACTATGCAACACTATGGAGTCCAGTAAAGCCATAGAGAAGAATTATCACTGAAGCAAGTCTATGCACTGAGCTTCATATGTTCTTCAGTAACCAACAAAGAAAAATGGAGAATTAGAAGAGGAGGCGTCAGGAAAACTGGATAAAAAACAGAAAGACTGGGCACAATACATGAGTCTACAAATGTCCCATGAAAGCCAGAGAAGGCTAACCCCCACATAATGAATGCCCAAAGAGCTACATATCAGACACACCCCTGTGATCTCTACCAATTTTGTTCTATACTCATGACACTTTTGACACCTGTGCCTGCCATTAGCCTGTGACATTTGTGTGGTTTTTCTTTCCTTTCAGAACGGGAAAACAGCTTTGGTGTTAATCAAACGGTTCACAGAAGAGCTCGGGGATGTTTGCCAGATAAAACAAGACTTTGCAAATGACAAAGAGACCTGCCTAACCTTGATACCAAAAGAGACAGTGAACCAATCAGAGACAGTGAACCAAACAGAGACGTAGTCGTAGTTTAACATCCCTTGACACTTCACTGTATAATAAATACTTGTATATAAATGTTTGGTGGGTGTTTTAAAAAAAATTCTTTTTTAAAGTATTAGTTTTAGATATTTTCAGGCTGGTATAATTTGTGGCAAATATTGTACCCTTTATGGAGCCATGGCAGTGTAGTGGCTAGTCGCTTGCCTGTCAGCTCAAAAGAATTTGGTTTCAATCCACAAGACTGATTTGCTTTCGTACTTTCAGACTTGACTTTGACTCCATGTTGATCCACCTAAAATGAGTCCCTAGGAAGTAACGGCAGCCGGTGTGATGTTGACTCACCTAAAATGAGTACCTAGGAAGTAACGGCAGTCGGTGTGATGTTGACCAGCCAGTGTGATGTTGACTCACCTAAAATGAGTACCTAGGAAGTAACGGCAGCCGGTGTGATGTTGACCAGCCAGTGTGATGTTGACTCACCTAAAACGAGTACCTAGGAAGTAACGGCAGGCGGTGTGATGTTGACCAGCCGGTGTAAGAAACCTGGGGTCCTTGGTTGTTTTTTTTTTTTTTTTAAATTTAGGGAGTTTAAACCTTTGACCATAAGTGGACAGGCAGTAGTGATGCTCACTGTGACATCACGACCATCAAATCATTTAACAAATTATTGAATTAAAAAAAAAAAAAGTGACTTTCTTTCTTTCTTCTTCTTCACTTCCTCTTTTACCGCTGTGGGTGTCGAGGGAGATATAAGGTTCTAGCTCTTCTGGCTGCCTCGACCATAGGCACATCGTGCTGTTGTAGAGTTTCTCTGATGTTATCCTTCCATCTTGTTCTTGGTCTACCTCGTGCTCTACGTCCTTCTTCTCTTTCCATGTATGCTTTGTATGGTATGGTGTCACAAGGCATTCTCTCTAAGTGGGCAAACCATTTCGTGACTTTCTTTAGCAAAGCTAATTTTTGTGGGTTCTACCTGAGGGGGAGTCAGCTCTGTGGCTAAGTTGATGCGAACGCTTCGTAATGCCGTGGTGCCGGGTTCGATCCCAGCTGAGGGTCATGCACTTTGCGTTGGTTTCGACAGTGGTATCAGGGAGCCGACCGTCTAGAAAGCAATGGCAAACTACTGGGCGTAAATTTGCCTAGAGAAAGCACACAACAGCCAGGGGCTGCTGGGGTTGGTTCTGCAAACATCCTGTAAAGGATACACAGCTAACCTTACCTGAAAGGGGAAATCACTAAATACAAATGGAACAGAGAATTCACTGCTGTCCTGACTTTTGACCATAACAGTATTTTTGTGGATACAGACAGGTGGAGTGAAGTGACATCAAGGATACAGACAGGTGGAGTGAAGTGACATCAAGGTGATGCAAACAAGCCATTTTCCCCTCTCCAAATATCTTGGGTTTTTTTAGTAAATATAATCATCTCCACACACCATGAAGATGCAACCAGTATCAGAACTGTTGTATAGGCAAACTGGCCTCTGCCCAGCAAAGTCATCAACAACCCATAAATGCCTGGAAAAAAGGACTTTTATGGGGTGACAGGATCAAATTGCAGTCTGTTGCAAAAGTGGTATTACACAACAGTTTCTATGAAAGCACACAAAAGTGGTTTTATACAATAGTTTCTATGAAAGCACACAAGCGGCATTACACAAAAAGTAACGCTAAAAGTGGTAACACGCTACAGATTCCATGAAAGCACATACAAAAGGTGTTATCACACAACAGATTTCATGAAAGCACACACAAGTGGTATCACCCAACAGACTGCATGGAAGCACATAAAAATTAATTTGTTAAAATATAGCGGCAAGGCACAAGAAATAGCCAAATACAGTTTACCTGTATACATCATTTACTATGTGTAATATCTGTTTAAATAAACCCATAAAATCTCAAGGCACCCTTGATGGTGCTGATTTTTGAAGTGGCATGTTTTCAGGTTTTTTAAAATCACGGACTGTCGACTGGATATTGGTTTGGAGCATGTTGACAATGATGTAGCTAAAACGCATACAGAAATATAAACATCAGGGCCCCAATCCTGGCTGGTGCAGATGTGCTGAGCTGAATCATGACCTAGTTAGATCAGATGTGCTGAGCTGAATCATGACCTAGTTACATCAGATGTGCTGAGCTGAATCATGACCTAGTTACATCAGATGTGCTGAGCTGAATCATGACCTAGTTACATCAGATGTGCTGAGCTGAATCATGACCTAGTTACATCAGATGTGCTGAGCTGAATCATGACCTAGTTACATCAGATGTGCTGAGCTGAATCATGACCTAGTTACATCAGATGTGAAGTTCCAGTGCTCTTACACACCCCCTAATTCTGAGCTTGGAGAATATAAAAATTCTTTAAATTTACCAATCTAGAATGTTCAGCATACATCTTAAATGAACCCTTTGCACTTCACTGCCCTGATGCAACTGTCCATCACTGCCATTTTTTTTTTTAGTAATAATTCTACGTGAGTATAGCTAACTTTTTGTGCCCGGCTACTTCCATAAACTACAAACCACATTTCTGGTGGTGACTGTTGGCTTTGGCACCTCTAGCAACTGCCGTATGCTTTTACTGCGTGCGCATATTTATGGACTATTCTGGGACTAATTGTTTGTTCATCAGTTTTTTCAAATGGGACAGTGAGGACATTTAATTTAATTTGCACAGGCACAGGAACGGAGCAAATGTGGGAAAACCCGATTGCGGTGATGTCGAAACCTCGACTAAGACTGGACTTCGCTGAAGCAGAGAGAAATAGCTGATATTTATAGTGTGATGCTTATCTTCACACACCTTGTTATAGCAACCATCTTCACACACCTTGTTATAGCAACACTCCAAGCAACCACCTACACACACCTTGTTATAGCAACATTCCAAGCAACCACCTACACACACCTTGTTATAGCAACATTCCAAGCAACCATCTACACACACCTTGTTATAGCAACACGCCAAGCAACCATCTACACACACCTTGTTATAGCAACATTCCAAGCAACCATCTACACACACCTTGTTATAGCAACACTCCAAGCAACCATCTACACACACCTTGTTATAGCAACACTCCAAGCAACCATCTACACACACCTTGTTATAGCAACACTCCAAGCAACCATCTACACACACCTTGTTATAGCAACACGCCAAGCAACCATCTACACACACCTTGTTATAGCAACACGCCAAGCAACCACCTACACACACCTTGTTATAGCAACACGCCAAGCAACCACCTACACACACCTTGTTATAGCAACATTCCAAGCAACCACCTACACACACCTTGTTATAGCAACACTCCAAGCAACCACCTACACACACCTTGTTATAGCAACACTCCAAGCAACCATCTACACACACCTTGTTATAGCAACACTCCAAGCAACCACCTATACACACCTTGTTATAGCAACATTCCAAGCAACCACCTATACACCTTGTTATAGCAACACTCCAAGCAACCACCTATACACACCTTGTTATAGCAACATTTCAAGCAACCACCTACACACACCTTGTTATAGCAACATTCCAAGCAACCACCTTCACACACCTTGTTATAGCAACATTCCAAGCAACCATCTACACACACCTTGTTATAGCAACACTCCAAGCAACCATCTACACACACCTTGTTATAGCAACACTCCAAGCAACCATCTACACACACCTTGTTATAGCAACACGCCAAGCAACCACCTACACACACCTTGTTATAGCAACACGCCAAGCAACCACCTACACACACCTTGTTATAGCAACACGCCAAGCAACCACCTACACACACCTTGTTATAGCAACATTCCAAGCAACCACCTACACACACCTTGTTATAGCAACACTCCAAGCAACCATCTTCACACACCTTGTTATAGCAACACTCCAAGCAACCATCTTCACACACCTTGTTATAGCAACACTCCAAGCAACCACCTACACACACCTTGTTATAGCAACACTCCAAGCAACCACCTACACACACCTTGTTATAGCAACACTCCAAGCAACCACCTACACACACCTTGTTATAGCAACATTCCAAGCAACCACCTACACACACCTTGTTATAGCAACACTTCAAGCAACCATCTACATACACCTTGTTATAGCAACACTCCAAGCAACCACCTACACACACCTTGTTATAGCAACACTCCAAGCAACCATCTACACACACCTTGTTATAGCAACATTCCAAGCAACCACCTACACACACCTTGTTATAGCAACACTCCAAGCAACCACCTACACACACCTTGTTATAGCAACACTCCAAGCAACCATCTACACACACCTTGTTATAGCAACATTCCAAGCAACCACCTATACACACCTTGTTATAGCAACATTTCAAGCAACCACCTACACACACCTTGTTATAGCAACATTCCAAGCAACCACCTTCACACACCTTGTTATAGCAACATTCCAAGCAACCATCTACACACACCTTGTTATAGCAACACTCCAAGCAACCATCTACACACACCTTGTTATAGCAACACTCCAAGCAACCATCTACACACACCTTGTTATAGCAACACGCCAAGCAACCACCTACACACACCTTGTTTATAGCAACACGCCAAGCAACCACCTACACACACCTTGTTATAGCACACACGCCAAGCAACCACCTACACACACCTTGTTATAGCAACATTCCAAGCAACCACCTACACACACCTTGTTATAGCAACACTCCAAGCAACCATCTTCACACACCTTGTTATAGCAACACTCCAAGCAACCATCTTCACACACCTTGTTATAGCAACACTCCAAGCAACCACCTACACACACCTTGTTATAGCAACACTCCAAGCAACCACCTACACACACCTTGTTATAGCAACACGCCAAGCAACCATCTACACACACCTTGTTATAGCAACACTCCAAGCAACCATCTACACACACCTTGTTATAGCAACACTCCAAGCAACCATCTACACACACCTTGTTATAGCAACACGCCAAGCAACCACCTATAC